TTGGCCTTGGCCTCCTACGGGCCTCTCCTCCAGCCATCCTCTCTCACTTCCCATCTCTCCCTGTCCCATCCCTAAAAAGCACAAGGTGCTCCCCAGGCTCCTGGCACAAAGGGCAGTTTGGTTCTCTTCCCAACTCTCTCTTTCTTTTTTTCTCTCTTTCCCCCCCAAATCCCTCTGTAGAACAGGGGCAGGGAGGAGTGCTTGGAGGTTCATTTCCTCAGCACAAAAACCCTGAGAGGTGGGAAAAGCCCCTCAGAAAGGAAAGGGGATAATGCTCCAAATCCATGAAGTCCCCATGGCTAAAAATCCCCAGCCTGCCTTTCCCCACATTCCTTGTCAGCAGCTTCCTCCACACCCCCAGTTCCACACTGGGGGCCCGGGCAGCAGCTCTGTGTCCTGGTGATCCCTGAGTGAGGAGATGCCCATCCCAGGAGGACACAGCTGCTCCCAGGAAGGCACCACAACGTTCCAGCCATTCTTTCCTTCTCCAGCATTTCCCTCAGCTGAGGACCCCGGTGAGCGACAGCAAACAAGAACAACAACAAAAAAAAGCTCCACCACGGTCATATTTACTGGTGACCTACTTAAAACCCCGTCTCCTGTGCCCTGTTGGGGTGTGCTGCAGTGCTGCCTGGCTCCAGTCTCCCGGGGGTTGCTGGTGGAATGATAATGAATTCAAAACGTGGCCCCTCTCCTGTTCGACTGCACTTTCTCAAAGACATGTTTTTATTTTTTATTGCATCATTTAGGCTTCTCTTTTTTCTCCTCCCTCACTTGTGATGTATTATTCCCATTTGTGGTCTCCCTGCTCTGTGCTCTGGCTGCAGGCAGAGCTGCTGTTTGAAGTGATGCCGTTAAATCACGGGATTCCTCAATCTTCTGATAATTTCTCTGTTTTTGAGGTAAATGAGGCTCTTAGCTCTATCCTGGAGAGCCTGAGCTGTGCTGTCAAAGGCTTGTGTTTGTTGAGCATCATTTTTTCTTGCTGGTGAAAATAATCCAGCAGGGGTGATTATTTATTTAACAAATGCTTTACACCTACTCCAGTGTATTTTTGTAGGGTTGCTGTAAATGGGTTTGCAGTGCAGGGGGGGGGAAGTCATCAGCATTTTGCATATTCAGAGAATCATGGAATGGTTTGGGTTGGAAGTTGCCCAGAGAAGCTGTGGCTGCCCCTGGATCCCTGGAAGTGTCCAAGGCCAGGTTGGACAGGGTTTGGAGCAACCTGGGCTGGTGGAAGGTGTCCCTGCCCATGGCAGGGGGTGGCACTGGATGGGCTTTAAGGTCCCTTCCCACTCAAACCATTCTATGATTCTGTGATTCCATAATCACACCTGAAATGCTCATTTCTAGTGACTCCAGAACCTTCTGGGTTTCCACCTTCAGGAGCACAGAGCAGCCTGTGTTTTCACAGCAGCCTGAATTCCCTGATCTCAAATCCAAACGGTTTTTCTAAGCACATGTATAGAAACACATAAAATAAATACTGTGGGGTGGCATCTGCATTTCTTGGCCCCCCATAACTGTGTTGCTGGAGCTAAGCCCTGTTGGTTTTAGGTGTATATAACAAATTCAGCTTCTTGCAGTCCCTAGGATCATGGAATTGTTCAGGTTGGAAAAGCCCTCCAAGACCAGAGTCCAGCCAATCCCCAGCACTGCCAGGGCCACCACTAACCCATGTCCCCAGGTGCCACATCTGCATTTAACCCCCTCCAGGGATGGGACTCCCCCACTGCCCTGGGCAGCCTGTTCAGATGATTGTGCAGCTAATTCTTGTTTTCTCACCAAACACTGTTGCAGTTGGGGTTGTTTTCATTATTGGAGGTGCAGAGGGAGCATTTCCCACCCTGTCCCTGCCACCTCTGGGTTGTTGCCATGTGCTGCCCCTGTAGGACAGGACACTGCCCTGTGCTGTCCCCACGGGAGGTGACAGCAATTGTGGAGGTGAGGGGAGAAGAGCTAATTAGCTCCTCTATACTGGTAAAACCACTCAGGATCTATGGAAATTAATTCAGTTTCTGGCTCCAGGGCACTGGCTTCAAATTAGAGTGTAAGTAATGTTTTGTTCTGCTCTAAGTAGTGAGGAGGAGCTGGTCAGGGCAGAGCATAAACATGGGAACAGCTTGGTGCTGTTGGAGCTCCAGACTGCTGATTCAGGAGGAGGAACCTCAGCCCTGGAGTCTCCTGAGTCAGACTCTGCCCTTTCCTCCAGCTGGGAGAACTCACAGGTGATGACTGAGCTTTATAAAGTGAGTTTTTGGTGTCACTGCCTCATTAGGGAAATTGGGATGCGTGTGCCTGTTCTCAGGCACGACAGTCCTCACCCCTCCTCCCTCCCAAACCAGCAGGAGTTAAACTGGGACTGACTGGAGGAGCTACCGGAGCAGTTCTTGCCACCAAACATGGCTCTGGGAGGAAGAAAGTCGAGGTTGCAGTGAGGGGTATTGTCTGTCCAGGTCTGTGTCCACAGGGGTTGATGGAGGCAGGTTAAATGGAGGATTTAAAACCACACAGAGCAAACAGGAGAAAGGAACAGCTCTGCTTTTGTTGACCAGAGAATCTTTGTCCCAGCCAGTGGGATTTTAATGCCACCCCATGTCCACGTGTCCCAGCTGCCCTCGTGGCTGTGTGGGCTCTGCTGGCTGATGTCCCCTCCCAGAGCCTGGCACTGATCAGGAGAAGTGTCTTATCTCCTCATCTGCTTTAATTTCAATTAATCTTCCAGAGCCCGTGGTATAAATTAATATTCCAAGTCCACAGGGTGCCTTGCATAAAGCCTTTTTACATATAAATGGCCCCATATATCCTGTAAGAGAGCTGTGATTCACGGGCTGATACGTGTTAAAGCTGAGGTGGGAGCCAGCTGACTAATTTATACCAAGTAATTAGATCCTGAATTAAATGCACAAAAAAAGATTGTTATTTTTTTATCCCTCCTTGCTTTTCCTTGTGTGAACTCAGATGAGCTGATCCTGGAGAAGGGAAGGTGTTCTTCCTTCTCCATCACCCCCCTCCTGGTATCTGCTGGGAGCCTCGAGGGGCAGCTACAGGAAGATTTACAGGGATGGCTCCTTCTCACAGGAGTGTGTTTGTGTTTGCCTGGATAGATCACTTTGACAGGGGTGTTTTGTTGATGTACAGGTGGAGGACAACCAAAAGCAATAAAATAAACACGTCTCTTTATAGATCCTGGGATGGTTTGGGTTGGAAGGGAGGTTAAAGCTCATCCCCTTCCACCCCCTGCCATGGGCAGGGGCACCTTCCACCAGCCCAGGTTGCTCCAAGCCCCGTCCAGCCTGACCTTGGACACTTCCAGGGATCCAGGGGCAGCCACAGCTTCTCTAGGAAATGCCTCCTCACACCCCTCAGCCCACCCCTGGCACGGGGGGTCATTCCTTTGCTCATCTCATGGAGATGCCGATGGGAGCAGAGTTCCAGCAGCTGAGCTGGGCTGTCACCTCCTGCCCACCATGGGGACAGCCCCTCCTGAGCTCCCAGTGGCCACATCCCCTCATTCTGAGCCCCCCAGCTCCTGCCAGGTGGGTACCACCATCCCTCCATCCCAGGACCCGCTGGAGTCTGCGCCCGGGCTGAGGGTGGATCCAAACCCTGCTGCATTCCCAGCTGGGATTCCAGCAGAGAGGCTGGAAGGGCTGAGCTCTGCCCGTGCTGGGAAGGACAGTGAGCCCTTCCCACGTGTCAGACAGGGCCAGCAGTGACTCCCAGGGGGTCCTTGGCAGGGGGGGTTGACCCCCGGTGCCATCTCGTCCTACTGCAATCCCAAACCCCAGCCCAGTCTCCCCAGCCAGCCCAGCTATTTTTAGCTTGGTTTCCCAGGGAAACGGGGTTTTATGTGGCTGCTGCATCCTCAGATTGACAGTGAGGGAGAGAGGTAGCAAAGATCATTCTCTGGGAGATTTTTTTTTTTGGTGAAAATGGCTCGTTTTGATTAAAGAGACAAGCCCTGAAATGTCGGTGCAGCCAACACGGTGGGGGTTCAGTATCCCCAGCCCACCAAGTGTCCCAGCATGGAAATGCCAGACTGGGAGTGAGGGAAGGGTGTTGAGAGACAGGGAAGGGGTTTGTTGGGGGTTATTGATTTTTTAGGAAAGCAGACTGCAGTTGTTTCTCCACTCTCAGCACATCTTCTTGATGGTCTTCATGGAAGCAGAAAAGGTGCTTTTGTGGTGCCTCCAGCCACGTGCAGCAGCATCTGCTGAATGCATCCTTTTCCTTTTTTTTTAATGTGGAAAAGGGGAAAGGAAAGGCATTTCAGTGCCTGAGCCCAGGGACCTCGGGCTGCTGGGAACTTTTCAGCCCCGTGAGATTGGCACATTCGGGCTTGGTGTTCTCATCTAAATCCAGGCTGTGACACTTCCTCCCAGGAACTTTTGAAGAGGGTAAAATGGGTGATTAAACCCCTTAATCATCAATGTGTCACCTCAACACCCAGCCCATGATGTGTTTCAGCTGGAGGGTGATGTGGGAGAGGATCCTGTTTTCCAGAGTCGGTCACCGTGAGGGGCATCCCCATGACTCAGATGTGAAGTGGGGGTTTGAAGCAAACTTTAACCAGTAGAGGTGTCCAGTGCCACTTCTGAATCCCTTGTGGTACATCAAGAATCTGCCAGGGGCTGGTAGGTGAGACCCAGGACCTGCAGGAGCCTCCTGCCTTTGTGCAGTGGGACAGGGGGTGTCCCCAGGGTCTCCCACCAGCAGCCCGTGTTCAGGGCCTTCATTCCACCATCCACCTTCAAATCTGAGCAGGGTTAATTAATCTCCAGCAGTTTAATGAGTCCCACTCTGGGGCAAGTGGGATAGGGAAGCCAGTTCCCCAAGTGTCCATGGCAGCTTGTTGTCCATGTGCAGTGTGGAGGGAGGTGTTTGCCCAGCTGCTGGTCAGGGTTGAGTTTGGCTCAGGCTGGAATTAATTTGCCTTGTAATAAGGAATTACATGAAGACTTTTGAATGTTAATAGTCCTCTTGTGCCTCTGTGACAGCTCCACTGGTTCTGTATCCTGCAAATTGGCCAGGAGGAACCAGGGACGACAAGAGGAAAGAACGGGACACAAGGATGATCTTGGAAAGGGCAGGAAAAAACCAACTTGGAGGGAACCTGCTTTAAAGAAAGCTCAGGCTGGTCCAGTCCTCACACCTCAGTGGGACTGAACTGGGATTTCACTGTCCAGGGGAACTCCCCACTGTCCAGCCTGCCCCCAGGAGGTGCTGGGGTTTGTCAGTGGGTGACAAGGGTGTCCCACTGGTGGGAAGGTCCCCAGGCAGCTGCAGGCTGAGGAACTGCAGGGGGAGGGATCAGTGCTGGTGACTCCTCTGCTGGGGGCTTCAACTTCGGGTTTCTTATCACAGAATGATCAAATCAACAAGGTTGGAAAAGTCCTCTAAGCTCATCAAGTCCATTGCCAAGGCCACCACTGCCATGTCCCCAAGTGCCACATCCACAGGGCCTTTAGATCCCTCTGGGGATGGGGACTCCACCCCTGCCCTGCACAGCCTGTGTGTCAGTGCTGGACAACTTTCCATGGATAAATTTGCCCAAAATCCAACCTGACCCTCCCCTGGCACAGCTTGAGGCCGTTCCCTCTCCTCCTGTCCCTTGTTCCCTGGGAGCAGAGCCTGACCCCCCCTGGGTCTCCTCTCCTGTCAGGGAGCTGCAGAGTGAGAAGTCCCCCTTGAGCTTCCCCCCTGAGCAAAGCAGGGACAGATGAAAGTTTAATAAGAAACGTTTACTACTCACTTTCTGTATGTGAGCAGCAGGGCTGGTTTTAGTGCCAGTTTAGGGTGCTGTGGGGCACAGGAGGAACAGGGAGAGGAGGTGATTCCCATGGCTGTGCCCAGGCTGGGATGGAGCTGGAGCTTTTGGTGTCAGTAGGGTGGGAGAGTGATAGACCTTGATGAGGTAATGAGGTGAGCAAGGCTGGGCCATCACTGTGAGTCCTGTCCAGGCTGTTGCCACGTATTTCCTTTAAATAAATTGAATAACTTTTGTATTTATGAAATCTGAGATAACCTGCAATGAGTGATGACTTTGAGGTTACACCCAAAACTGTCACCACCTCCTGGAGCTGTCACTGCCAGGCCTGAGCTGCCTCATCCTTCCACTGGGCAAATCTCCTCCTCTGAGTGACCTTGTGCTCTTAACGTGCTCTCAATCCAACCCTGCCCTCAGTGCAGCACTGAGACACCCTGGGATGTGCCAGAGGGGCTTTGGACAAGGGCCTGGATCAACAGGACAAGGGGGAATGGCTTCCCCCTGACATGGAAAAGGGTTCTATGGGATACTGGGGGGAAATTCCTCCCTGTGAGGGTGGGGAGGCCCTGGCACAGGTTGCCCAGAGAAGCTGTGTCTGCCCCTGGATCCCTGGGAGTGTCCAAGGCCAGGTTGGACGGGGCTTGGAGCAACCTGGGCTAGTGGGAGGTGTCCCTGCCCATGGCAGGGGGTGGCACTGGATGAGTTTTAATGTCCCTTCCACCCAAACCATTCCATGATCTTGCCCACAGGATTAGAGGACGTTTTGTTCATATTTATGTGGGGAAAAATAGCAAAGTTGATGACTTATCTGAACACAGAGAGGTCAGTGCTGCTGGCCCAGTGTCCATGACCTCCCTGGGATTCTGGATTCCTCCTGTGGGGTCATGCCAGTCCCATGTCAGTTGTGATCACACATCTCCTGTGGCTCGTGGCAGTGTATTCACTGTGTTGTGGTTGTAGCTGGAGCTAAATATAGAGTGGGAAAGGGCAGGATGGCCAACACTGACCTAGTTCTGGGGTTTGGCGTGGTTGGCTTTTTTTGAAGACTTAGTAAAAAGAGATAAAAGCTGCCTGCCTGTCACCTTGGCTTCTCAGGGATGCTCTGTTTGCAGGAGGTTGTTCCCTGGTCGTCCCCCTTCCTTTGGGTTTGGTGAGAGAATTCAAGCATGCTGAGCTCAGTGCAAACCTGAGTGGGGATGGGGAGGAGATCTGTGAGGAGGAGTTCAGTGATCCCCTGTCCCTGCCCCTGATTTGCCTTGTTGTTGCTGTTGGGGAGGTCACTGAGCCTCTCTGGGACAGCCAGGACGTGCAGGGAACACTGGGAGTGTGCAGGACCCCACAGAGTCCAGTCATGGGGTACCCAGTCACTGGGGGCTGCTTGGAGATCAATTAACTTGGAACTGTAAAGCTCATTAACCCAGAGAAAAACACTTTCAGTCCTGGGTTATGAGCAGTAGGGAGAGGAGGGATTGTGAGCCTGGCAAAGGCACAGAGCAGGTTCACGTTGCATTTGGCTCCACTTTGGGGGCTGTTTGTCCAACCAGCTCCCAGCAGGCAGCAGTGGGATGGAGAAAACCAGGTTGCCTAAGGATTGGGTCCTTTTCTTGTAAATACCAGCCCTGGCATAGCAGCTGATCCCTCCTCCCTGCTCACCTCCCACGGGCAGAGTTGGTGCATTTGCATTCCGTGGCCAGTGCAGAGCACACACGTGTTGTGTGACAGCCACAGACATGGCAGGGTGGGGTTTGCTTTGCCTTCCCCCCGTGAAGTGGTTATTTGGATACCCTGGCAGTTAATTCTGCACTTAGTTTATTTATTAGACTTCTCCCTCCCCCTGAGATTTGAGGGCAGAGTGGGGACAAAGGGACTCTCAGTACCAGTGGAGGGAACCCAGCCTGAAATGCACCTTTGCCTTCAGAAGACAGAATTATATTTCTTCTTTCACTCCCAAATATCAACTGTCAGCAGAGGGAAATGTGGGATGGCAAAGTTTTTAAGTGTGCAACAGCTTTGTGGGTTTTTTTACCAAGAGCTTATTTTTAACCATAAACTTTCCAGGGGAAAGTTCTCAACTTTCCTCTGCACTTACAAAAGGTCAGCTCCTGTCCCAGGCTGTCCTGTGTGAATCTGCTGCAAAGTCCTGCTCCCAGTTGGAGCCTTCACCTCCCCATCCCTGCTCTTGACTTTCGGGGCAGCCTTGGGTTGAATTCCCAGCAGTCCCAGCTGAATTCCTACCCCTTGTCTCAGTTTCTCAGAGCAGTGATCTGACAGGGCCTCCAGGCTGGGATTCCAAGTGACTTAGCAGGTGCAAATACCAGGGGAGATGGAGGCCCTCTGATCCATCTCCTTGTGCCCTTTCTCCCTGAGGGAGCTGTTGAGCCCCACATCTCCCTCCCCCCTGTGCCAGCACTGCCATGTCCAGATAAAAGTTTTCTCTGCCCCTGGGAAAGTTTGTCTTTAGTCTGAGCCTTCCTGAGCTGATGCCTCCACAGGGTTTGCACTGGGTTTGCTGGTTCCAGGTTTAATTAAGCTGAGGTTCCTTGGTGTCTAGACAGGTGGGTCTCACTGTGAGGGCACTTGGTGAAGGATCTTTGTGGGGTGACGCCCTCACCCCATCCCGTTTGAGGTGTGCCCTGATTCACCCTGGCCCTGCTGAAAGAGGCCTAATGGGCTTGGTTTCCTTGTTTCACCTGTCATCCTCCTTGTTTTCTTTCCAGCAGACTCAGAACTGCTTTTTCAAGGTACTTGCCCAGCTGGAATATCCCTAAATATGCATAAAGTCCCAAGTCACGTCTCCTGCACCCGGGAGCACAGCACACAGAATGTTAAAGCAGGGGCTCTATGAATCTTTAAACAGAGGTAACAAGCCATGGAGGGGGTGGTAGGTGATGAAATGGAGGTGAGGAAAGAGGCAAATGAGGTCCCTGCTGTGTAAGTGCCCTTTCCCCAGGTTCTGAGGCTCCCTCACTGCTCACAGGGCTGTGGCTTTGCTGTGTCAGCTCCGAGCCTGTGCTGGGCACTGCTGATTATGCAGAGCAGCTCTAAAGCTGCTGCTTTATCCAAGCCATGAATTTCCACCAGGGAAATTAGGGAGGGTTTTTTTCCTGCTGAGTAGTTGAAGGAAAAAAGACTTTATCCAGCCCCATCTTCCCTGTGTGTCCACATCCCACTGGCTCCTGAGACTGGGTGTGGGTGATGGGGAGTGACCACGGAACCCAGAGCAGGTCATGCCAAGAGACACTTGCCCATCCCTGGAAGTGTCCAAGGCCAGGTTGGACGGGGCTTGGAGCAACCTGGGCTGGTGGAAGGTGTCCCTGTCCATGGCAGGAGGTGGGACTGGATGGGCTTTTAGGTCCCTTCCCATCCAGAGCAGTCTGGGATTCCATGATTCCATGATCTTGGACTTGAAGACCAAGCTCTGATTCCATTTGCAGTGGGGCCAGTTCTGAAATTATTCAGAAATTACTTTTAAACAGTATGTTGTTGATCTCACCCTGTATCATAAAATCATGGAATCATGGAATGGTTTGGGTGGGAAGGGACTTTCAAGATGATCCAGTCCCACCCCCTGTCATGGGCAGGGACACCTTCCACCAGCCCAGGTTGCTCCAAGCCCCGTCCAACCTGGTCTTGGACATTTCCAGGGATCCAGGGGCAGCCACAGCTTCTCTGGGCAACCTGTGCCAGGGCCTCCCCACCCTCACATTCCTTCCCAGTATCCCATCTAACCCTACTCTTTGTCAGTGTGAAGCCGTTCCAGCCTTTTTCTGTCACTCTGTGTTCTTGCAAAAAGTCCCTTTCCAGTGTTGTTTTAGGTGAGGATGCAGAACATCAATAAATCTGATTATCAAATTCACCAGCTCCTTTCCAAGGAATGAGGAGGAGAGGCAAAGGGGGGTGCCTGGAATACAGGGATGTGTGAGGTTCCTGTGTTAGCAGCCTTGGAGACACACCAGCATGGGGTCAGTGCTCCTCAAGTATTCCTTCACAGGCTGGGAAATTCCAGCATCATCAGCTCATCCAGGGCTCATCCCTTTTGGCATCCCTGGGAGGTTGGTTGCCAATGATGTGTTGCTGCATCTCCTGCTCTGAGTTCAAAGGAATTGGGTTAATGAGCACAAAGTCAGCCATCAAATTACCCTGACTCGCCTGCTGCCTCCCGGATTTCCCAGTGCATCCCCCTTTGATCCCTGGGATGGAGGCAATTAAACACAGCACAGGCCGTGGCCACCTCACAGCCTGGATTCAGACCCTGTCCTTTGTCTGACATGGTCTGGAAATGGTGTGAGAATGAGGAGGTGGGGGAGGGAGAGACCAAAACTGAGTGGAACAGCTTTTGTCTGGGAAAATAAAGCAGATATGGAAATGGGCTGTAATATCCTAAAATCCTGAGGTGCTCCAGCAGGCTGGGAAAGGCAGCTCAGCCTGGCAGAGGAGCTCGGGAGAAGGACAGATCCATCAGGAGTGACTGTAACTGAGGGCTCTGGATTCCACCCTGCTCGGGTCACACGAGGTGCTGCTTTTGTCTGGAAAAGCAGGATGAGGGAAGCACCACTGGGGGACAAACAGGGCTGGAAAAGGAGCTTCTCCGGGCTGCTGCAATTGCATCGTGTGGCCTCT